TAACAAGTAGCCAGGCCACTTTCCAGTTCTGCAAGAAATAAGGAAACCCAAGTCGGGAGCTATTACTTCTGTACTAATGCGGAGCCCAAGAACCTGTCCCACTGCGCAAGGTGAGCAAATGCAAACTTGTTTTAATTTAATTTTGTTTTAATTGCTCTTTCTGAAGTTGTTCTCCTCGGCAAGGACGCATAGCCAGGACTGTGCTAGGACGTCCCAACCTAGCCAGGCTGCGTGCCAGCAGAGGGCTCCCGAGGACCGGGCCATGCTCCAGGAGGGAGGTGGCAGTCACCGAAGAGCCTGAGAAAGACTTGGGGTCCTCGTGGGCAGAGAAACGTGTGCTCAGTGTCTCTCTATAACAAACTCCAGGCACAAGTTTCCGCGAGCAGCAGCTGGCTACCCTCAGGCTTTCAACACCCAGACAGGACACGAGGCGAGCCACTGAATTCAATCTCAGAGCAGCAATTCCCATCATAAGGAAGCAGCACAGAAAAGGGCAATTACTGCACACCACCTGCCTCAAGAATACTACCATGACTTCCAGGAGAAGCTTTTGCCCCTGGGGCTCTCCATCTGTCTGGGTGTGTTTCAGCATCTGGTCCTCCGCAGCCACAAGCCTCATGCCATTCCCCGACGTGGGACTGAGCAGGAGTGGACAACAAGGCAGCCAGTGGAGGATGCGGAGACCAGGAGCTGCCTATGACATTTGGGGGAGGGAGGTGTCTTTGTCAAGACAGGCAACCTTGACAGCGGTCTGCGGGCAGCAATCCCACCTGACATGGAAACACCCGAGGCCCCACTGACAAGGAACCGTTTTGTGTCACCGATGCAACCGGCAGCTCATAAAAGGCAGAGCCGAAACCTGCAAAGGGACCTGCACAGACTGCCGAGCGCTTTGCTTTCACACGCAGAGTCGAGAGGAAGCAAACGGTTAGAAGGGTGCAATGCACCCACGGCAGCAGGGAGAGCCAAGGGGAAGTTAACTTTTTCATGTTTTTTAATTTCATGTCTCGGGCCAAAGCAGCCAGATCAGTTCTGAATTGTAGCAGCTGAGCCAAGCTCGATCATTCAAGTCTGTGTGGTACTAGTCTCCTCCCTCCCAGGATCTTCAGCCTGGGGTTTCAGATACCCCCAAATCCATGGCAGACATCCCATGTGCAAGCCCCAAGCCTAGAGGCCTTGGAGTTCAGATGCCCCTTAGTCTCACTTGCCCCTAGCCAAAACGCCAAAGCAGCACGCTAGCGGGAAAGGAGAGCAACTCCCCACCACCATAAATTGTGTAGCTGAGATCCTCACACCTAGAGGCATTTGCAGACTTTGGCAGGGGTCAGCCAGCCTGTAGTGCAAGGGACAGGTCTTCACCCTCTACCCACACCGAGTCCTTCTCGGCTGAGAAGAAGGGGATCTCCCCCTCCAAGGTAAGTAAAACCACCTGGGTTGAAAACCACCCCATGGTATCTTCCCTGCCACGTATCAGTGGCCACATATCTGCCACCTCACTCCTCTCTAGCAATAGTCACATTTGTTGGTGCTGCCACTTTCTATTTGCTCCCAGCTGAGTCAGGGATGGGAGAATCAATCAAGGTTTCCTTCCTCTGAAGTTCAGTCTCCTGGGGCACTTGTACACATGATGCCATTAACATGCACACATGACGAAAATGTCACTGTGTGGCTTAATGGCAACACACTGTACATGTGCAAGACTTTTGGGGGTTTTAAACGGCTTTGCATGGTTGTAAGCTAAACTACATCCGGATGTAGGTTAGTTTGTAACGTTACAAACTGCAACGATGCAGCTGTCAGCTTGCACCCCTCCTGACGGAGCTGTTCCCGCCGCCGACACCAGCTTCTGTGGGTGCTTGGCGACCCCATCCCTGATGGCATTGCTGGCTTCTGCAGGTGCCCTGCCGGTCTCAGGAGGCACCAGTCACCCATGGGCTGGGTGCTGCCTCCAACATGGGGCAGCACCCAGCCTGCTAGCAGCCTGCCTGGGCGGCCCCTGGGGATGCTGTCACCATAGAGGGAAGGACCAAGGCTCCCCGCTGCTCAGGAGCCGCTTGGCCCACCAGCACCACCCCCCGGCCTACGGCAGTCTCTGGCTCTGACAAAAAACAGGGTAAAGTGATGGAAAAATTGAAACAGCAGGCTTCAATTAAAAACCCACCATTTCAATGTAGGAAGCAGAGAATAAAACCCTGAGGACTACACCCCCCGTCACGTGTACAAGCGCCCATGGTTTCTGGGAGTTATCAGGAGTGGTGAATGGGCAGGAAAAGCCACCTCCTTGCTGACTCCCTCTCCCCCATGGTGCCTTAGTGCAGCACGGAGTCAGGGAGCAACGAGGAGGAAAAGGCAGCACCCACCCACTACCCACCTGTTAGGCAACATAAGGGTATAGGGAAGAATTGACTGAGGACGGGGAGAGAGAACAGATTAGCGGAGGGACAGGACAAGAGAAAGCAACAGGACGGAGGGATCTTGGACAACGGGCAGCACAACAGTGGAGGGAAAAGAGGGAAGGGGTAGTGGGGAGAAGAGAGGCCAATTCAAGTCAAGATCCAGGGCGGACAGTGGTAGGGCTAATATGCAAGACTAGGAGACAGGACACCTGGGTCCTAGGTGCAGCTCTGCCACCAAAGTGCTGTGAAAGCCTGGGGAGGTGTAGTCCCCTCCCTCTGCCTCTGCTTCCCCATCCGTAATGCAGCCCTTCCCCACAGGAAGGGGCAAATGCTTTAAGACCCTCCAGTGGGGAAAAAAAAAAGGTATGGCTAGTACCCGTGAGTAAGAGGCGGGAAGTTTGGGCAACACAAACATATTTGCTCCCTTTTACATGCTTCCTCAGATGAAGACGCATCAGCTGCAGCATTTGTCCCCTGGAGCCAGCCAAATACTTCCTCACCACAGCCACACACACCACTTGTTTCTTGAATTACTATTACCCCCACACACAGAGAGAATGAGAGGGGGCAATATCCTTCTCCGTGAGAGTATCAGTATTGCCAACTCCACCGTGCCGAAAATCCCGAGATGAACTCTTGCAAAATCAAGAGATTGGCACGTAAATCATGAGATGTTATTTCTGAAGCGTGTGTGTGGGAGGGTTATTTGTGAAGGCGTTGGGGGCTGTGGGGGGGGGGGCTGGACAGGGGGGTCCCCACATGCCCTGGCAGGGTGCAGGGGACTGTGGTGCGACTCCCCCGCAGCAGTGTGCACCCCTGGGAGAGGCATGGGGGCACGTGTTTCCTGCGGGTAAGACATGGGCTGGAGCTCTGCGCCCTACTGCCTTGCCCCGGGAGCTCAGCCACACGACCCCAGCGAGCCTCCTGCCAGCGGGCCCCATGTCCCCTGTCTGCCTGGCAGGTGGCAACGGCATCGTGTGGCTGAGCTCCTGGGGCAAGGCAGCAGGGTGCAGAGCCCCAGCCTGCAGTGGGTATCCCGCCTCTTACTCGCAGGGGACACGTGCCCCCATGCCTCCCCCGGGGTGCATGATGCTGCGGGGCGCTGCACCGCTCCCCTGTGCCTCTGGATGATCCACCCCAGCCCCAGAGCCCCATTCACCCCAACCCCTGCTCCTGCCCTACTCCCTCCCTCACAGCAGGGGCCTCAAATCTCCTTCCCCCCATCCCTGCCCCTTCCCCTCTATTTACCAGTTGGGAAAATCTGGAGATCTGAGGGTTGGATCAGGAAATCACGAGTCTGAGTTATTCTGACTTCGAAATCCCGAGTCGCGCGATGGTTTTGCGA